CATCCTCCTCCTCCTCCTCCTCCTCCTCCTCCTCCTCCACCTACTTCTTCTCCTCCACCTACCACTCCTCCTCCTCATTCTTCTCCTCATTCTCTTCCACCCCCTTCCTAATTACACTCCTTCCCCTCTACACCATCCTTCCCCTCTCGCCGCACCGCCAACCCCCGTCGCTCTTGTCATCGCCCTCGCCCCCTCCCAATTCGACACCTGTGTTTACGCGCACCTGAGCCCGCCCGAGCGCATCACGGAGGCTGTGCTGACTGATTGGTCCGGCCGGGGATGCGACAGCCCGTGGGATTATCCCCTCGCGCCCTCGCCCAAAGCACGCCCGCAATTTAATTACACTGGCAGCGCAAACAGAGGGAAAAATCACAAAAGCGCGAGATAGCGATCGGTTGGTGGCCGCCCGCCCGGCCCGTCCCCCGCTTTGCTCACCCCCGCACGTAGACTCGCGCGCGAGCTCGATTGCCCAATTTTGCGGTGCCTGAGTAGGCACGGGTGGCGCGGAGACCCAAATTCAGGGTCACCTCCTTAGCGCGCTGGGAGTCCAGGCGTCGTTTAGCTCGGGTACGCGACTCTCTCGCGAGATATACGTGCAACCCCCAAGATGGCCGTCGCAGCCGCAGCAAGCACCGCCGTCAGAATCGTCGTCGTCGTCGTCGTCGTCGTCGTCGTCGTCGTCGTCGTTGTAGCCGGCACGGGCGTATCGACGTTTGGCCCTTGCGGGGTTTCCTAGAGGTAAGCTCATCGGGACTTGCGGGTCTTCCCTCAGCGGCAAGCGCCCGTTTGAATCGCCCCTCCTTATCCCTCCCGTTTTTTCAGGCACCCTCGCGCTCGCTCCAAAACAAAGAAGCGCCCGTAATTAAATTTTTCCATCGGGGAGCGAGTTAATGCCCGCCGACATCGATCCCACTGCTACTCGAGATTCCTCCACCAAGCTTCCCGGGAAAGCGCTTTCCCACCCGCGGAACGCGGCCAACTCGTCTCCCGTCCCTCCTTCCACGTCCCCCGTGACGAACCGACGGGGCTCACCATCGCTCTCTCCTATCGTTCGATTAGCTCGCGTCAAGCAGCCCACGACCTCCGGACCCTTAAGCTCTTTTCAGAGCGGCTGCCCGTAGCGGTGACGTCCCCTCGAATGCTTAGCCGCACGCGACTCGTGCAGTACGATGAAAAAAATACGCACCGGAGATAAAAGCGACCGCGTGAAACCCTCGTAAACAGTAAGAGCGGCTCCAAAGGACGGCCGTAGGAGAGGCCGCTACCCTATTCACACGGCTCATGTAACCGAGTTTATTGCTCTTAACCAAAACTTATTCGCGTAATGTTTGCCGCGATGCGCACCTACTCTCACCCTTCACTCCCCACCCCGTCCCATAATCCACCTCGAGTAGCGACTTATGTCGTGGAACCGCTAGTCATGCAGAGGACGCGGAATCTTTTAAACTTGCATTTATAGATAAGCGCTGATAAGCGATCGCTCTCCGCTTGGTTTTGTCATCCCGTTTCCGATGCTCGTCATCCAAGTCCTTCATCCATGGGTTAAGCTTAACATTGGCAAGGCCTGAGAAAATGATTGAATTATTTTACTTTGCAGCGTGAAGTCGGCAGTTTCTTCGGTCGCCGTAGCAAATAATTAAAACTAGCAGCCGTCAACTTCGTAATACTATTGCTCTGTTTAGCTTACGATCGATTGTTCGACCGAATGCTTCGCCCCTCTCTGCGTATACGCCCAGCAAAGGCAATTTTTCCACAGAATATGAGTGCCGGAGATTGGCACATTATTATTATTAATCGTCATTGATAAATTTGGCGATCAAGGTCGATTAGAGTCCATTAAGTGCTATTTTACAATCGTTTAAATTAGTAAGAATAGTAAGATTAAGGACAAGGTAAGTGGAGCGAAGTATCCGGAAAATGCCGCTTTTTCCGATATGCGCGAAAGCATTTTTCTAAATATAAGTAAAA